AGTGATCATTGCTCACCACAGCCTTGAACTGTAGAGCTCACGCAATCTTCCTAAGCAGCTGGCACTTCAGGGTTGGCCTTCTGTGCCCAGCTAATTTCAAAAAAATTTTTAGAGATGAGATCTTGATAAATTGCCTGAGCTGTTCTTGAACTCCTGTCCTCAAGGAGTCCTCTCACCTTACTTAGCCTTCCAAGTTGCTGGGATTACAAATGCAAGCCACTGTGCCCAGCTAATTTCATTTTTGAATTATTCTTTACAAGTATGTAGAAAGCAACAATGGCAATTGCAACAAAAAAATAGCTGGGTGTTGTGTGAGTGCCTGTAGCCCAGCTACTTGGGAGGCTGAGGCAAGAGAATTGCTTAAGCCCAAGAATTTGAGGTTGCTGTGAGCTTTGTGGTTTTACTGTATTGTTTAAAGAGTAACGATTAGGGAAAAGCATCCATGCGTGTTCACCACAGAGTCTATTCATCTATCTATCTAATCTTTTTTTTTTCTTTTTATTTTCTTATTTTCATGCTCTGTCACTCAGCCTGAAGTAAAGTGGTGACTCGATCATAGATCACTGTTACCGTGAACTCCTAGGCTCAAATGATCCTTTCATCTCACCCTCTACCTTAGCTGGGACTACAGGCACAGGCTGGTCTCAAGCTTCTGGCCTCAAGCAATTCTCCTATCTGGGACTCCTAAACTTCTGACCTTACAGGTGTAAGCCACTATACCCAGTCATCAACTTTTTTTGTTAATATTTTTGATCCATGAATAGTTTAATCCATGGATGCAGAATTCATAGCTACAGAGAGCTGACTGTATTTTGTCACTGCTTTTAGTAGTGTTATATGTTTCTCTGAGGCTTTGTTTTAGATAAAATCTCTGAGTCAGTGTTTTGAAGCTAAAGTAGGAGCAAAGGTGTGCTTCTCCTACTTTAAGAAGCTGAGCTAATTGGACAGTGGAAACTATAGCCTTAGCTCTTCGTAGCTTGCTTTTTCAGGCCTGGGACCTCCGTCTCATGAATAAGCTGGGGTAGGGGTGATTTGGGCCCCAGTATTCTCATGCTGCACCCAAGGAGACCGTCTGTTCTATGAGTGGGTCTGGGTAGAAGAAGGGATCTCCTGCCTTGTGGCCACACATGCCTGGACCTTAGCATCAGCAACAGGTAGTTGGGGACTGAAGGGGATGTGCTGATGTCTTGCCCCTCCTGGGAATATAGTCCTCTTAGGAGCTGCCAGAAATGGGAGGCCTACATTCTTGGGTATGCCAATCTGGTGTGGGATTTCTGTATTAGTAGGGAAAGAGGTCTTGGCTCAAATACTGCAGGTGTTTTTACCAAGTTTTAATACCTTTTCTTAAGTAAATATTTTTTTTTATTTCCAAATGCCCTTTAGGTCATTTCTGCAGTCTTTAAAGGATGGTTTTAAAAGTCACTAGTTTGTCACTAGAGAGTGGTTCTGCAAAGCTCCTCGTACTGTCAAACTGAGAGTTGATCTTGAGATTTCTTTAAATATTTAAAACTAGCATTGATTTATACTGTTCCAAGTAGTACTTTGTTGTTTTAAAATACTTAGTAGGGTCTTTCGGTGTGAGAGACTTTGTAATATGTTTATTTTATGTTTAGTTTACTGCCATTAGATTACCAATTCTCTGAAACTATAATCTCTTCTTCTAATACTTCTCAGGCCATTTTAAAATTTAAATATTTAAAAAATTAATTGTTGCTAATATATCTTGGTATTTTTGAAAGACTGCTTAGGTATTAACACTACTTATCTTTGTAATAAAGACAAAAATCTTCCTCATTTTTATATTTAGAAACATCCTGTCTTCACAGAGTAAAGCCGTGGTCTATTGTTAAAAAGTTTTGTTGTTGTGACAGACGATTAATTATTTACTCTGTGAGAATGATGAATTTTTATATATGTAGGTCTGGAGAAAATGATGTGGAATATAACAACATGGAGTTGGAAGAGGGAGAACTCATGGAAGATGCAGGTGCTGCAGGAACTCCAGGTACAGAGGCCAGGGCCACCTCCGGACCCAACTGCACTCAAGCCATCCTGTCCCTGCTTTTCTCTGACTATATCACATTTTAATAGGTGGTAGCCTCGCTGGACCATGCTGTTTAAAGTGCTGTGGATTTTAGAGCTTATTACTAATGATATTTAAAATAACATTGGCAGGTGGTACCTATAGCTCAGTGGGTAGGACGCCTGCCACATACATCCAGTCTGGCAGGTTCGAACCCGGCCTCAGCCAGCTAAACAACAAAGATAACTGCAACAAAAAATAGCTGGGCGTTGTGGTGAGTGTCTTAGTCCCAGCACGTGGGAGGCTGAGGTAAAACAATCGCTTCAGCCCAAGAGTTTGAGGTTGCTGTAAACTATGATGATGGCACGGCACTCTCCGAGGGCAACAACTTCAAACTCTGTCTCAAAAAAATAATAACATTGGCAAAATATATATATATATATATTTTTTTTTTTTTTTTTTTTGAGACAAAGTCTCACTATGTCACCCTCAGTAGAGTGCCTTGGGATCACAGCTCACAGCAACCTCAAACTCTTGGGCTTAAGCAGTTCTCTTGCCTCAGCCTCCCAAGCAGCTGAGACCACAGGCTCCGGCCGGGTTCGAACCCACCAGCTCCAGTGTATATGGCTGGCACCCTAGCTGCTGAGCTATAGGCACTGAGCTTTGATGACTTGCTTTTGAATATAATTTTATTGTAGAGAAACTTGGCAAACATTACCTCTGCAGGTAATGAAATTTAGCATCAATAGTGGTAAAGTGTGTGCCTTGATATGATGTGTTAAGAATGGCAGTTTATGGTGTCTTCTTCCTAAAAACCCATAAAAATAATCACCATAAGAAAAGGATGGCACAGCTCGGCGCCTGTGGCTCAAGCGGCTAAGGCGCCAGCCACTTACACCTAAAGTGGCTGGTTTGAATCCCCGGCCCAGGCCCGCCAAACAACAAGGATGGCTGCAACCAAAAAAATGGCCAGGCATTGTGGCGGCCGCCTGTAGTCCCAGCTACTTGGGAGGCTGAGGCAGGAGACTCGCTTGAGCCCAGGAGTTGGAGGTTGCTGTGAGCGTGATGCCTTGGCACTCTACCCAGGGGGATAGCTTGAGGCTCTGTCTCAAAAAAAAGAAAAAGAAAAAGATGACACAACCCCTTAATTGAGGGATAAAATAATATTTTTATTTTAAAAATAAAAAATATGAGTTAGGGTTGAGATAGGATAGAAATGCTTTTTTGTTACATGCTAATTATGAAAGAATTCAAGACTGAAATGGTTAATGGAATATTTAAAAAATTCAAAAGAGAGAAAATTCCAAGAGAGAAAATGATGACAACCCCAGATAAGGTAGTAGCATTTGAGATGGAGAAGAAACCTTGTGAGAGATTAAGCAGTTTGAATCTCTAGGACATGGAGTCTAAATGATGGGTTGGAGTGGTGGAGATTTCAGGATAACTTCTTTTGGTTTCTAGCTTAGGTTGTGCTATTACATAAGATAGGAGTTCAGGAACAAAGGTATTATGTTTAGTTTGATCCATGTTGAGTTTGAGAGACCTGTGGGACACCTCTGTGTTGATTTCCAGACCCATATATCTCAAATGTGTAGTATGGCCTAGAAATACAGCATATTGATGAATTAATTTTTAAATAATTATTTAAAAAGAAAGCAAGCATTTTGATTAATCACAGTAAATAAGTTAATTAAAAGTATCATCCAGAACTTTTATTCATAATATATTGAGAACTTCCACAAATCAGCAAGACATCTTCTAGAAAAAAAGGGCAAAAGACTAGACACTTCACTAAGAAGGCTATCTGAATGGCCAGGTACATTTATAAAAGTGCTTAGCCTCCTTTGTCAGAGAGATGCATATTATGTGTCCTGTTGTAAATCTCTGGAGTTTATCCTACTTGGGAGTTTACTGAGCTCCAGTAATTGGAGATGAATTTTTTTTATGATATTTGAGAATTTTTCAGCCATTATTTCTTTAAAGATTCTTTCTATTGCTCCCCTCTCCTGTGACTCCCCTTACACGTATGTTGGTATACTCACTGGGGTCCCATAGCTTTCGGAGGCTCTGTTCATTTTTCTTTATTCTTTTTTCAGGAAATGCCAAATTAAAACCATATAAGATACCACTGCACACTAACCATATGGCTATTATTTTTTAAAACTGGCAATACTAAATATTGAAAATGTGTGAAGATATGGAAATTCTCACACTGCTGGTGGGAATGAAAATTGATGCCACCACTTTGGAAAACTGTTGGGCAGTCTGTGCTAAAATTGAATATACACATACGCGTGTCTCCATGAGTTCCCGCAGAAACCTGAGACAGTGTTTGCCAATAGAGTTTTACAAGATTCTACAAGAGCATTGTCATTCTTTTTTAGTTTCTTTCTTTTTTTTTTTGAAACAGGAGCCTCAAGCTGTCCCCCTGGGCAGAGTGCCATGGCATCTCAGCTCACTGCAGCCTCCAACTCCTGGGCTCAAGCGAGTCTCCTGCCTTAGCCTCCCAAGTAGCTGAGATCACAGGCGCCTGCCACAACGCCCGGCTATTTTTTGGTTGCAGCCATCATTGTTGTTTGGCGGGCTCGGGCTGGATTTGAACCCACCACCTTGGGTGTATGTGGCTGGCACCTTAGCTACTTGAGCCGTAGGCGCCGAGCCAGTTTCTTATTTTTAAGAGAAACAGGTGTAATGTATAACAAAGTAAAGGATGCAAAAATGTCAAGTTTACTGGGAAGGCGGTTTGGGGCTAGACTGTATAGGTCTTTGAGTGTCATGCTAATGCATACAGGCACTGTACTCTCAGGACCTCAGATCAGTGAGACATTTTAGCTGGATTCATGTGGCTTGGCACAAGAGAGAGGAAATTGTCACTATTTGGTTTGTTTTTGTATAAAATTTTTTCTCTCCCTATGTGAGCATCAAAAGCAGTTGACTGCTTATAATTTTAATAGATTTATTCTGTGTTTTTTTTTCTCTTTTAACAGAGTCTTGCTCTGTTACCTTGGCTAGAGTGCAGTTGTGTTATAATAACTTGTTGCAACCTCCACCTTCTGGACTGTAGTGATCTCTCACCTCAGCCTACCAAGTAGTGGGGACTATAGGTGCATGCCACCATGTCCAGCTAATGTTTTTCTGTTTTTTGATAGAGATTGGGTCTTGAACTCTTGGCCACAAGCAATCATCCTGCCTTAGCCTCTCGGAGTACTAGAATTATAGGCATGAGCCACTGTGCCTGGCCAGCTTTATTTATTTATTTTCTGTTTTAAAATTTCAGATTAATACGAGATTACAAACAATTAGTTTACAATGTTTGCATTTGTTAGGTAGCATCCCTGTTGCAGTTGTGTTCCACACCCGAAAGGCATGCCATATACCCTTACATTATGCCTCTTAAGTGGAAACAGCCGAATCCTCCTGCCTTCACCCCTTTCCACCTCCCCCAACTTGAAGTGAATTGAGTTTTTCTCTTATGTTGGTGTGTATTGGATCGTGTACTGGCTTCATATTAGTATTGAGTACACTGGATACTTGCTTTTACATTCTTGTGATACTTTGCTAAGAAGAATGTGGTTCTGGCTCGGCGCCTGTGGCTCAACCGGCTAAGGCGCCAGCCACGTACACCTGAGGTGGCGGGTTCGAATCCCCAGCCCGGACCCGCCAAACAACAATGACGGCTGCAACCAAAAAATAGCC